CAGAAGTAATGGTGCAGTGAACTTAAAAAAAAGGAGAAAAAAAAAAAAGTAGCAAGGCTTATGGTGCCGAAAGCTCTGGGTTTCCCATCCAGACACCATCTGTGAAGCACTTGGGGACAGTGCCTAATGTCTGAGTCATCATGTTTGGCAGTCATTTACCCAGTGGTCTGTTTCCCTGGGGGGAGTATTCATAGGGGGAGAAAAGAAATGCTAGAAGGACGGAAGATAAACTGCCCTTTAGCCCCTTGATTTATATTTGGTCAGAGTACCCCTGTTCTATTTTCTTTTACTTGGAATGTATCTTGGACATGTTGTTTCAATATGAGACAATCAGCTGGGCTCTCAGAGGAATGTCCCTGGAGACTCAAAACAGCCTCCCAGTAGGGTAATATGTTCAGCAGAATTCTAAGATGTGTTCTCCAACATCTGCAGTCTATTTGTGCCTCCAGAATATTTCCCATCAGCATTTGGGGAATCAAAAGGGCCTTTGAGAGATGGTCACCAATTCTCCACACTGCATGATAACTTGTAAAATGTTTACTTCTTTAAACTTCTACTGAGCTGGTGGTTCATTTGTTTCTTTCTTTCCTTTTTCTTTCTTTTTTTTTTTTTTTTTTGTTTGTTTGTTAAAGAAACTAACAACAGAGGGACATGAAAATACACTTTAATTTTTTTTTTTCATATGAATAGGTTCTGAATGTAGTAGTAACCTCCTGGGAAACAAGAAGGCCTAGGAGTCATCATGGACAGCACAGGGAATGTCTGTTCTGGGCATGTGATAGAAAAAAAAATACTTATTAGACTGCACATTAGAAGTGGATAGACAATAGACAATCACATGGAGAGTATTACATATTGCATCTCAGATACCATGTCTTCATTTTGATTATTTCATTTGGTTTTAGTAACCTCATGTCAAAAAAAGACACAGAACTAGAAACAATCTCCAGGCAGGGAGTGAGAATAGCAGAGAACTACATAGAACATACTCCTTGTATGAAGACATTGAAAAGATTAAGATTATTTATGCAAGAAAAGAAAAAGAATAAGAGAACATACAGCAAGTGTCACATAAGGAAAATAGATAGTATGCTGAAAGACAATTTAAACCTCCCTTTCAACCTTCCCAGTGGTACAGGAATTAGGAACGTTCAGAAACAAAAATAAATACTAATTGACACAATGTGCAATCAATCCGTGGGCATCAATTTTGCAGGATATAATTTGTACAAACAGCAGAAAGTTGGCTGAAAGACTGAGAAAAATATTGTGTACAAATAGTAAATGAAAATGTCCTTTTAGGTAAGATAAAGCCAAGTCTATCTAGCTTTACTCATCAGGGCATACAAAGGTAAGAAGAAAGATGAGCATATCACTGCAATGCTGGAAGGACAAGGGTGTGTGTGTTCTTCTGGCAAGGAGTCTCTCGATCACCTGTTGGTGTTCATGGGAAGCTGTCTGTTTGCATGACACTGATTGCTATTTAATTCTAGTGACTGAGAGCACTTACTAATTAAGAAACGGATAAAATTCTTTCCCTTTATTACTCTTCCTTGGGAACTGTAAGATTTCACATGGATGAGAGGAGGCATTTGTCCATGAAACAGTGACAATGAGAAATTACAGGCGTCTCTGCCCTACCACTACTCTTGTTGGCTGTTTGTGGAGACAGACTATCAAACTTGGTGGACCAGAAATAGGTATGTCATGGCAATCTTCATCATAAGGCAAAAGAAGCAAGCTATGGTGCTGTGCATGAAGCACATGAACTCACACCAAGCAATAAAGAAAACATCTAGGGTTTTGATTTCATTCATCTTTCTTTTTAGTTCTTTTTTTTTCCTGAGTTCCTTTTTCTGTTTCTGTTCTGTGAAAGCCAAATAAAAGCAACAAATAACCAAAAAATCCCTAAACAAACAGTTGGGACTCTGACTTGCGAAACTGTATTTGCATGTTTGTTCTGAAGAGGTTCCCATAGCCCGGCTCTGACTTTTATCTATCCCCACAGGATGTACTCCTACACTTTTTCTTCCAGGGTCCCATGCTTCCTGTGGGTGTTCCCACAGCTGCCAATTCAGACAGCTTGAGTCTGGAATAGACTTTGCACAATCCTGAAGATGCTATTCTCTCACTAAGTCAAGTGATTCCACAAAAAATATGGCAGATGTTTAGCATCAGGAATCAAAACAGCATTTTCGCACCACACAGCACATTCTTCTCTCCCTGATACCTTTAATTTCCTCTCTACAGGATATGGAGCAATTTTGCTTTTTTTGCTGCTGTTCCTGTGAACTTAGGAATCTGTGAATTATACCAGGACATTTGAATTCCCATGTAATCTTTTCTGAGAGGTAATGGGGCTTAGTTCACTAATGTCTCATGCTTCATTTTTTCCTGCCTAGAAGATAAATATGGTGTTTGAACAGAGCTAATAACACTAGATTATTTCTCATCCTTGATTTTCAACTTCTGTGATTTTCAACACCTGAAAAACAAGAGCTCCTGTATGCAATGTATGCTTCAGAATAAGAGTAATAATGGGCCAGAAATATCTAAATGATATTAATTGTTTCTGCAGTGGGGTCTCTAGGCCTTGGAGCTAAAGAAAGTCAGATTCACTGATGCTGGAGATGAACATACCCAGTTACATCAACAGGTAGATTCTAATTGAGATTCCAGTTACCTATGGCCTTAGATTATCCTGTGGCATTTTCTTAAGGTGATCTAGCATCCTTTTGGGTGGTCTCACGGAGCTGTGTATATGGACCTCTTGACCAGACTTTTCAATGGCCCAACATGAGCATTGTGCTGAGCCCTGCTCACACCATTCCTCACCTTGTCTCTGGAGTCCCTCAGTACCGTCTAGAGCAAGGCTTGCTGCAATACTGTATTGCCTACTGAAAAATATCTAAGTACAATTACGAATTTCAAGGTAAAAAAAAAAAAAAAAAAAGTTGGAAAAAGCTGTGCCTACCAGTATGGATTTTAAGCAGCGAAGAGGAATTAATTAATTTGCAGTCTGATTCTCTGTCACAGAGACCTTGGGCTTTCCACACATCTTGGGTTTAGCACTGTGACACACTGTGTTAAAGCATGAGACATAAAAAAATGAACACATTGTCTAACAGAAGATAAAAGAACTGCATGGCTGTCACATAAATTATTTGAGCCAGTAATTAAATTACTTTCTTTACCCCCCATTCACTAAATTACTTCATCAAGAAATTGCAAGCTCTTTCTCTACTCATGATGGGTCTGAAACCAAAATAAATATGAGGTACATTACAAACCCATCACTATGTGCAATGCTGTTACTAGTCTTTATTTTTACTAAGAATTTACACTACGCTGCCTGTGTGAAGCAAATGTTTAAAGGAAGGTACAGAATTTGTGCAGAATTGTCCTTTCTATTTTTTAGCGTAGCTTGAAGATAAGAATTATCTGAAAACTTTTAAACTCAGCATTTTTTAACAATTTAACGTTATCCCAGAAAAAACGCCCACTTTATCTGCAGATATTCAATTTTGCTTTAGAAGATTTAACATTTTCTGTAGACTATAGGACTTGAAAAGCTTTACAGAAATATTTGGTCTTTTGCCCATTTTTGAGAAGGAGGGGATGGGACATTTTCAGACAGCTATGCAAAATAAGCCCCTTTTACACCAAACCCTTAACATAAACATATCATGCATAAGCTTAGCAGCTGCATAGAAGTCAGCAGAGAGAGTGGAAAGGCTTTTGAACTCGTAGTTCCACACTGGACAGACCTGCAGTGTTAGTACTGGTGGCGGATGAGGGATAGACAAGACCAAGCATACTTTTGAGGTTTGTAATTCTGCCTTATATGGCTTCCCCTCCAACATCTGGAGCTGGGGCAGAGGTGCTACACAAACCTGCATGACAGATTTCCTACCCAAGGCTTCCCATATGTGATGGGCAGCCTAAACCGTCTTTGTTGGTTTAGTGGTAGACTTGGCAGTGCTGGGTTAATGGTTGGACTCAATGATCTTAAAGGTTGTTTCCCACCTAAATGGTTCTATCATTTTATGATTCTGTGTGTCTTTGACCATCCAGAGAAGAATGACTGCAATTTTTATCAAGCAGAGTAACAAAAGGGCAGCAATGTTTCAGGAAGAAAACATTCAGTGCTTGGCCTGAATATTGCAGAAATCCCTGCATATTTTACCAGACACTTGCTGCATTCTTTCAAGTTTCTTAGATATGTCTCTAGCAGCAATGCCATGGACAGTGAGTGTGTCATAAAATGTGAGCATCCTGGAGGAGAATGCAGGTCCTGCCTCTGTACAGCTTCCTTCCCCACAGCTCTGTTTTTCCCTTCCCACTTCCCAGGAAAGAAATCTGTGAAAGCTGGGGTGAATTTTAAAAGCTGAACTGCTAACCTCAAATCCCAACAGCAGTACCAGTACCCTGATTGAAAATTACATTTTTAACACCTGAGATCCCATGCAGGTGGGGAAGTATGTGTGTTAAATTTTGTGTAATTCATCTGTGCCCCTCCTGGTGTCTGGCTACTGGTGATGTTCTCTGTAGTGTTTCCACATGTACAGAAGTCTTCTTGACATAGCATTTCTTTATTTACTATTAGTTTTTTAATGAAAATGATTGCATTTGCATTGATCTTACTACATAATCAGTCACTATCCAATGATCACTCTTCCATGATAGGACTGATAAACAGGACTCTCATCACCAAGAGAAGGTTACCAAGGACTCCAGAAATTCCATAAAGTCCAGACAGTTTATAACATTTTAGAAATCCATTTCTTTCTGTAAGAAAGCTTTCCCAAGCTGTTTCTTTACTTTTTCTGCTCAAGGTTAAAAGGAGGACTAAGGGCAGGTATTACACTTCATTCTATACATTATTCTAGTCTTTAAGATTTCTAAGAAAGTTTTCACTTTTGAAAATTCAATGCACTAGAGAGGCAATAGGAGTTCTACTCCAGTGTACTCTATTCACACACTATGCTTTTGTTTTTCAGATGCCTTATATGAGTTTGCTAGAGGCAGAAGGAGCCACAAAGGACCTTTTTCAGAGGCAGAGATTGCAGATGACCTCATGCTAAGGAGAGAGGATGCAAAGCACAAAGCTTCTGAGGTACCCATGCAGCACCACGTGGAACTTTGGCAGGTTTGTGGTACTTCTGTTCTGATTTTCAGTATGGAAGATCTATATCCCTGGAATTTCCTGTCAAAATAAACATTGTAAAGCACATGTTATTACAGACACAGTTCTGGACTCGGTAAAAATTAGGTGCATGTATTTCAAATCAGCTTTTCTTTCAGTACAAACTTTTCAGGATCCAAAGAAATACAACTATATTCTTAAATTTTCACTATTCTCTACAAGATAATTTTTCAATAGTCAGTAGGCATCACAGTTTTCTTATGTTGAAACTGTAGCCACCTAAGTTGATTATTGATTAAATTCTTCTGGACAGTCATCCGTTTTAATAGATATGTCAGAAAAAATAATTCACAATACATTCTATATTGGGCATTAGGATAAATGCACCTTCAGTCTTCTTTATGTTTTAAATACAGCAGTTGTTTCTTTCCTGCTCTTCTCCAAAGAAAGTCTTTAACGTGTTGACAAACTGGCACTTTAGCTAATGTTCATGGTTCTTGCAGGTGGACATGAGGAAGGGAACTTTATCTGGCCTGGACCATACAGCAGTTACAATAATGTCTAGTTTTAGTAGACAGTAATATTGGGAATAGGCCCTTAGTAATAAACTCTGATAGTTATTTGCTGATCAGAAGGGCTATAGTGGCTGCTAATTCCAACCTTGTGTTGGATATGGTGCCAAGTATGTATTCTCGGTTATTAGTCCAGAAGGCATTGGTTTCCAAAAGATAAAAGCTCTTCCAGTAAATTCAGTTGTGAGACTGGTGCCTAAGACTAATGGCACCAGACATCAGATTAAAAAAGCTCTGGTACTCCTCTTCCTCATTCATCATTTGGATGATGAATAGGGGGTATTGACTAACATATCCTTGGAAGAAAGTAATTCAGGGAACACAAACTCAGTGAACTATTTGTTGAGTTTGGTTGATCTACGTGGGGATCAGTCACGAACTAGCAAGGCAGTGGTTTTTACATTTTACAAGATGGGAAAAAAGAGTAAATATTACTAAATAGCTATGATGTCATCGAAAGGGCAAAAGGTTATGAAAAGTATTGGCTTGAGGAAAGAGTCATGTATACAGAGGGATGGAAACACTTGGCTAATAAGTGTGTGGCATTCCATGGTTGTGATATCAGAATTCCCAATACCATCCTGTTTCCCCTTTCTGAACTCTTCAGAAAATGCCTAAATTTCCCAAAACGAAAGAGAAAATCAAATAGAAAAGATAACTCCCTGTAAGTAGGAAAAGCTTCTGTACTAGAGAACTGCACTGCTATTCAGTTGCATGGACATGGTCTCATGAGTGCAGGTTAATATTTAAGGACTCCAAAGAGATCTCTGCTTTTTCTTTGGATTTTTCAATATATTTTTCTCTGGTATTTGGGCTGGACCAAATAAGAAGGCCTATGGTGCTTTAACACAAAGGAATGAAACCTCAATGACTTCATTTCTGCCCTGTTTACTGCCAGCAATGAATTTTATTGTGTATTTTTAATCACCAAATTCCTTAATACTCTATATTTTAAGTAAAAGATCTTGTGGCTTTATTTTGTAGATATGCTCTGGCTGGGTATGTGTCTGCTAGGATTAGCTGTGAGGCCTATTTCGTGCAGCGTATACTGTAAAATATGCTGCTGTCTCCATCTGGTTGCTCTGAATCTTGATGTGCAACCCTCAAAGGAGACCTTGGACATAGCATTTAATCCCTTTGTGTCTCTTGTCTCTTCTGAACTTCAGTCTTCTTGTAGCAGCCTTGTAGAGAACTGCTCTTCTTATTAGGCAGAAACAAGGGATTTTGCAAGTTGTCTTTTTCAGTTATAGTATGTTTGTTTGAATTAATTTGCCTTGGATAGTATTATTGGATGGTGATGGGACTACAGAAAGTGCTTTACCTACTGTAAGCCTTCCATATAATGTGAAAAGTTTGTAGGTTGGAGAGCCTCAGAGAGGTAGTCTTCTATGTCCTGACTGTCATCAAGTAAATCCATGCCTGTTCTCATTCAAGCTTGTATAGAAAAAAGCATCTAAAAATATTAAAAATGTTTTTGAATTCAGTACATTTATGTGGATGGGAAATTATGCTCTGTTGACATGGATTGACATGCTGTGGCTCTGTTTACTGCCTAAGATTAAGAGGTTTTCCCTTACAGTCATTTATCCTGTTTGCTTAATGCCACTTCTCAATATTCCACTCACTCATTTTGGAATTTCTCAGCCATTGTCTGTTCCTCTGAAATGCCAGTGAGCCTTGACAAAAGAAAAAATCCCACAAACGAGTACTAGTTTTACCAAGCTTTATATCTGAGAATCATCAGTTCTGCCATTCCAGCCACCTGCTGCCTGGTGTGGCACTGAGAACATCTATCTAACCCTCGGCCCCTGAGGGTTCTTGGTTCACACAGCTGCAGTGTAAATTCCTCTTCAGGCAGTCCAGCAGTGCAGGCTGCCAAGGTTCATCTCCTGTGTGCTAACCTACAGGGCCTCTGTGTGTGAGAAACACGAAAGTATGACCCTTTTCCAATGGATGATCTAAGGAAAATTACATAAATGAAAATACAGAAGAGTCCGGTCATCTGTAGTTATAAATAACTTCTGTTGTTTGGTCAGCTGGAGTCACACAAACATGCTATTGTTAGGGCCCACAAATGTATACATACAGATTTTGAAATGGTAATAATGTAGAAAATGAAAGGAGTTATTAACCAGATAAATGCTTGGTTTCTGTCTTACTCTGGCAATCTAACAGATAGGCATATAAAGACCTACAGTGCTATCGATAACTTGGCCTGAGGCCTTCATAAGATGCCTAGCTTTGCCAGAGTGGAGGGCTGATTTGACTGACTGACTTGCTAAAGACAAGCATTCAAACTTCTGCAAAGGCCAGGCACAGTTCTTCCTCTCCTTTTAGGGATAGGAGTTGGATTAGTGTCGGGAAGTGGAGCAGGGAAGAGTGAGAACACCAAAAATCATCCTTACAGGAGAAGGAGGAAACTTAAAGAGCCATGCATCTCAGGTCATCTTTTCCCTCTGTTTCCCCCACCCTTCTTGTGAACAATAAGTCCATTTGCTATCTCCTTTTCCATCCTTCTGCTTCCCTCCATGCAACACTTGGCCTGGGAAAATGGTGAAGGAGGTTGCTTGTAGTAGTACCCACAGCAAACATGAGGGTGGAGGTCCTTTGTAGCCTTGGCCAGGGAAGGGCTTGGAAGAGACTGCTTATATCCACCAGCTTTCTAGTCTGGAAGGTGTGGTGTGACGAAAGCCAAGGGAGTGAGCTAGGGCTGTGTTAATGGGCCAAGCTGGTGTCTGGGTGAGGGAACTGCTAAACTTGAGTGATGGACAGGCCTTAGGTGCAGGCTCTGCAACAATTGCTTATCAGACTGGGAAGAACTTTTGGTCTGGCAAGATGTCACCTAATGCAAGAATTTCAAACGTTGCAATACTGTGTTCAAAACTTCTCAGATGTGCTGCACTGTGTGGTGCCACATGCTCTAATAAAGCATGCTGCCTGTACCTCACCTTGATGCAGCCTTTTGTGCCTGAAGGCAAAAAAGACACTCCTGATTGCTTCCTAAGAACTGAGAGACAGAGCTGGATGTTGAATAAAAGATAGCTGGGAAGCTTAACAAGAACCTGAGGAGACAAGAAGGCTGCCTTTTTAGAAAGGGGCAAGATAGAGAGAATAAGCAGATTTGGCCCCAGGCAATTTATATTTGTTCCTCTTCCCTTCTGCCTTGTTCAAATATTACTCTGCTCTCTTAATTTTTGGCATTTCTGCCCTTGCCTTGCAGACCTGTGAAGTGGGAAGTCAAGCAGGCAGCCTAAAGGCACCACAGCCAGAAGAGAAACAGGAGGAGGATGTGGAAATAATTGGAAATCCCTGGGTTCCAGAAAGTCAGCAGAGAACATGCCAGCACCCTTAAGCTAAGGAGGGACCTGGAAGAGGGTGCAGTTTGCATATTTGGAAGGAGAGAGGGAAGTGCATGTTAATAAGGCAGTGTGAAGGTCTGTGAACTGCAGCAGAGGCATTCAAGGTGGGAACCACACCCTGTCTCTAATTCCCTCATCTAATCTGGCTGCAGCAGGAGCCCACACGGAAAATCTCTTTCAATCCCCTTACTGTCATCCGGCTCCACACCACTTTTGGGCTCTGCAAATGGCTAAAATGTGAAGCATGGGTGGTTTGTGTGTGCTGTGTTTCGTGTCAGGTTATAAAGCTTTGAAGTTGAAAACTTGTTTTTAAAAGAAATTTCCTCATGTTATGAAGAACAAAGCAGAAAATTTGCTACCTGAAACAGCCCCTGTAACAGTTAATTATCAAATGCAAATGGCTTATTGGAGTAATTCAGGAAAAAAACCAAACAACTTCTTAAGAAAAAGGCTGTACATTTAAAAGATTTATATTCTTCACCCTTGAGAACAGTGCACAAGCAATATGGATGTTCCCAGCTCTGCTGGCTGCCGTGCAGCCTGATGGTTTTTGTCACACTCTGGCAGTGGCAGGGAAATCTGCTCTAGGCCAAGCAGAAGAGTTTTAGCTTGTTCTGGAGGACACTTAGCTGGAACAAGGAAGCTCCTTTATAGCCCAAGACTTCAACAGGTTATTTCATATGTCAGTTCAGCCAGTGCAGAGGGAGTGAAGATCACCCTCAAATGCCCCTTCTTGGAAAGTCCTTTGAAATGGGGGGACTTCCCAGCTTTAGAGTACTGCCAAAACATCCTACTTCTGCAAACTCTTCTAGAAGAAATATTTTTTAGGACTGTGTGCATTTCCTTGGGATATTTGTCTGGGAAAACTTAGGATAATTTCTTTAATCATGCATTGTGGCTGGGGCAGGGGGAACTGGGGAGCCACATGACCCCTCTTTCATGTATTTGTCTGCCTGTCCTTTGTGGCTGTGTAGGATGGGGGCGGAATCCATCCTCTACCAATGTGCCACTGTAGGCTTAAACAGCCCAATGAACCATTCTGTTTGCCCTCAGGCTCCTTCAGCTTACTTGAAATCAAGCAACAGAGCCACTCTCCTGCATGGAGGCTGCTCAGCAGGAGAAACAGGGAAGAGGCAGCAGCTGCTTAGAGCTTCCCCCTTTTGCATCCAAACTGCTTGCTGGCCCTGAGGTGCAGGGAGGGGGGAAAGGGTGATGGGAGGCAGCTGGGGAATGTGATGCCCTCTATATCCTTCCTGTAGTGACAAGCCTTATTCAAACACTTCAGTTTAAAAAGCTAAGTGCAGCTTCAGGAGAATGCTTTCAATTCATAATCAAATATGGGGCAATAACAGATGGATAAAACAAACAAATGTGGGGGAGGATGAGGTACATACTCAAACACTCTGGAGTGTGTTCTGGGAAGAAGACACCCACTTTCTACATGTTATTTCTAATTCAGGGAAATCTATGGGCGAGTGAACTTTGGGACCTTCTTCACTGTGCTCAGAAAAGTCATTGCTGGAAGAAACACCTCTATTTTTTTGTTAACTTTTTTTTTTATTGTGGAAAAAGTTCTCATGTCCTTTTCAGGCTTTGAAGCTCTTCCTATCCCTGCTGTATTACTCCTCTCCTTCTTACATGAGGAAGCTGAGCAAGTAGCTTGGCTTTCTGACCAGCACTAATACTACCCTGTCACTTTGCCAGGAGATGCAGCCTGTTGAGTGGAGCACTGGCACAGCAACCCTAACGTGCATTAGCGCTCCGTGGGCCTCCCTGTGTTACACTCCTCACAATGGCTGCTCTGCAAGCTCTGTGTGGGGCTTTCCTCTGCGCTGGTGCACTGGGTTACGCCTGCACGGGTAGAGCCAACTCCATTGTTTTGCGGGTGATGATAATACATAGGTTCTTCCAGCAAAGAAAGCCTCCAGGCAAGCTGGGAGGCTGCTCAAAGCACAGCAGGTCAGTCGCCAGACAAACAGCAGAAGGAATCTATAATGATTTACTGTCTTAATGTGGCCTGGGTTCCTATGGCTCGGGACTGCACGTGAGATTTAAAGCCTGCAGCAGACATGGGGACATTGATAGTAAATGAAGGACCCGAAAAAAATCTTTTAGGATGAACTTTCTCAGTTCAATCTTCTTAGTCAGTATGGGGTTACTAAGCAAAGTGGAAGGATTTCTGCAATTGGCAGGTCTGTGCAATGGTAGCTGTAAGTAAGCATCATCATCTTTGAAGTCACATTTTTAACTTCATGGGGAAATGGCACATATATTATAAGAGCAGAATTTCCCTTCTACTGTCTGTGCAGTCAGAGATCCCTGACTTTTAATTTTTTTGTCAAATGTAATTAGTTTCTGCCACCTGCCAGCCAGCCACAGATGCAATATCCTACAAATAGTGAAGTAAAGGACAGAACAAAGTGTAGTAATTTTGAGGAAATGAAAATATACATTTCAAATCAACAGCAGCAGTTTAATTCTAGAAACCATGACAAAATGCATTTTATTTTTTCCCCCGAGTTCAGTTTTGGAGTCTTGTTTTGAAAGCAGAACATTTTCTTGGCATGCCTCTACTGATTTCTTAGATGTGCCAGTGGAAGAAACATCATGCTTCTGTGTCTTCAGCTTCTTTGTAATAAGATCCAGTTAAACAACTAAAGACATTAAGAATTCATTCGAGCATTTCAATGTTGCAGTCAATGAGACCTGTTGTTTATCAAAGCATTTCCAGCCAAATAAAATGTCTTTAAAAAAAAAAAAAAATATAGTGGAAGACATTTGTTCTGAATGCTTTGCATAAAATTAATTTTATATTTATATGTAAATTATTTTACACTTCTCTAATGCAGCAGTAGGTGATGTTAGGTAATAGGGCAGATCTGTGAGAACACATCTCAGCTTCAACTGCCGAATTCCCCTTTAGGTCAAACAGCACAGGTGAATTACATCACAGTACTGTTGCAGCAATCAGCAATAAAAGAAGTTAATTGAAAATGCTTCATTATTATCTTCATCATGAAGCATTTTTAGGGTACCTAGAGGTCTACAAGTGAAAATATGGTGAGCCAAATTCTGCTCCACTTTCCTACTGGCGTCTCAGAAAGAAGAACTTTGGTGATCCATTCAAACTACCACACCCCAAATTATTCTGATTCTTACTTCTGAAACTACCAGAAACATAGGAACCTTTGGATAAACTGAAATTGTATTGTCGAGACAGATGTGCCACAAGAAAATAACATGTCAAGTCTCATTTTGAGAACACCAAATTGTGTTCTCTATAGACTTCTTAGGAAGCAGCAAATTAACTGATATTTAATTTCTGTTCAGCTGAATGGAATGTGACCAAAACAAGTGCTGAAGTAGCTGATGCAGTTTCTTGTCATCCATAAACTTGCACAAGTTTAACTTCAAAAGCTGCTATCATGGAAATAGCTCTGTTCAGTGTGATTTCAGTTCTGCCTCTCAGTGTGGTTACTGAGAATGCTATCAGGGAATCTGAAGCTAACCACAATGTCTCAGTACAATAAAAATTGAGCCAATGCATTAGATCTGCATGACCTTTCACTGGAATCTAAATTGGAGGTGACAGCAAACCTGACAATTAAGACTCACGTTGGTGAGGAAAAATCATATGAGGCTTGCTGCTGTTCCCATCAATCTAAATACAGTAGGGTCTGGTATTTTTGTTTGAAGGATTGTGTTATTTTCTAAACCTACCTGAAAGGGTAATGGACATTTATATTTGGAAGACTAGGGACACATTTGAATTTATGAGATTTCAGTATTTTAAGATTTAAATGAGTATTTAAAATGTATGCTTATCTTATGATATAAAATCTGTGGTTAAACTTTGTACATAATGTTTCTCCAGATGTTTACATACATGAGCCAAACTGAGAAGAAGATTGTCAAATAATTTGATACCCAGCTTGGGAGAAAACCTTGGTTGAAATATTTTCTGAGCTGTGAGTCTTTTAAAAGAGTGATCTTAAGTGCACAGTATTTTTCAATGGAAGTCTGAAAAGGCTTTGTAGTGTTACAAGAACATACTATATACACACATATTAAATATCTACTCTTAAACCTCCTAGGAAAGATATATAAAAAGTACTACTTTGAAGAGTGTGAATTATCACCAGCAGAACGTGCTCAATTATCTGCATTTTTCCCTTGCATTTAGAAATTTATTCTTGTCAGAAGTACAGAAGCTACCAAAGCTTCCTTTTCTTGTAAGGATGTGCCTGACCTTATCTTCTATAATAAGCTCTATTTTGGCTAAAGCTCTGTTTATGTAGGAATGCAGGCATAATTAAATGCTGACAGCAAGAGGTCTATTTGGGTGAAATCTGAATGAATATCTTATAGTAATGTGGTTAACAAACCTTGTAAAAATAAAAAAGAGAAGCTGCACCCTCACATATTGGGCAGTGTTGGTAGAGGAGGCTTATAATATCCTGGAGTGGAGGTGTGTAAACAACGAGGGGGCAGTGTTAGGTTTTTGGTGTTGACAGCAACATAAACAGCATGAAGAAGCCTTCTAAACAAAATCTCTAGGTGATCAGCAGAGCCAACCCACCACAGGCCTGCAGAGCTGCTGAGAAGGCAAGATGCATTTCTAGAGGATTCCTGTGTGTTACCAGCAGTAGGGAAGGAGAGGAAGACGTGTTGTGAGGTGATATTCAGTAATGGGGCTGTGAACAAGTGTGACCCCCAAAGGCAGAGCGGATGTGGAAGCTGTAGACACATCAAAGGGCTCTTAGCAACACCAGATCTTCTGCTGCCCTAAATATCAGAAAAGGAAGAAGTAGCCCCACTAAAATTTATCAAAACATTAGACTTTCTCTGTCATGAAGAAAAGCAGAGCAAGTGAGATCCTGACCCTGCTAAAATCCATAAGGATGTTATAGCTCATTTAAGAGAATGGTAAAATACTAACATACCCTTTTCGAAGTCTCTCTAGCCCAAGCTGCTTGTGTGGTTTTTGAGGGCACAGAAAGGGATGAATACTTGTCTGTCCATCTTTCTCCTTTTTTAAAAATTCTCCCCTTGCCTGTTCTGTTGCAGTCAAGAACCATTTTGTGTTATTGAAGTCACCCATGGATGCTTAAAAGCAGTGCTGCAAGAAGGAAATGCTGATTTATGCAATGTTGTGGATCTTCCTAAGAAAGGAGAGTGAGCCTAGGTACCTTCTTTTTTATGTCACAGGCCATGAAAAGTAGCGCTAAGTGAGATATGAAGTGCCCTGAACAGATGCAGCTGTTGTGTTTGACTGTGATAAATGGTGGAAAAGCATGTCAAATCTTCCTGTAGGAATGTGTTTATTGGTTGAAGTGTTACGTCGGAACATACCATTTTTTACTGGTAAGTTTAAATAGAGAATACATATATATTTATAGCAAATACTTAAATAGGGGGTTATATTTGGTTTTGCTCTTATTAATGCACTTATTCACTGTTGCCAATACTTTAAAATCTATCTGTATAAAGTTGGGCATTTACATCCAGATTTCAATTTACAAATAAGTGATCTCATTTTCCAAAGTACTGAGAGACTAAGACACTTCTTGAAAAATAATTGTATGAGCATCAAGTGAAGTGTTGACAGGATTGCATGCAGATAGATGTGATCACAGTTGCTCATACAGAAACCGTATGCATTCCAGATTCCATTCCAGAAACTGTATAGGTGCAGTGATGCAGTGCTAATGTGCTGTGTCTCAGCAGCAATAGCTTGCTAGTGACTGACAGATGGGATAGGAACAGAAGAAGAAACTGTTTTCAGAAAATTCTTTGGTTATGGTATTTCAAATTTCTTTCTAGCTGCCATTAAACCTACTAAATGTTAGTGAAGTATTTAATAGTGTATTTTATATCACTGCCTTTATTCAGATTGTAGTGCAGTGGATTAAATTTAGAAAACTATACAAGCTTGTCCTTTTGTTGTAGTTGACTGATAGCAGTAATTTGTCACTGTTTCCATCATGGGCCACATGATTAAGATCAGAGTCAAGAACACAACTGTGCAGATCTCAACCACTGGGACCATTGCTGTGCACTGAGATAACCAAAAAAGGTAGAGACTGAAAGAAGACAGTGTGATTTGAAATTAATCAAGATGTAACAACTCCCTTCTGTAGGCTGTGGTTGGGAATTCTCAGCTGAACTGAGTGTGCCAATGACTGATTCACAATTGCTGGCCTGTTCCTTCTCTGACCTAACACTGTGCTCTTCTCACAGCTGCCGAGTTGCTGATAAATCCTCTGAAGCCTAAAACCTTGGGTTGCCTGAGGTTAACGGAGCCCTGAAAGTTTGCACCAGTTGAAGATCAGTCCCTGGGTGTCCAGAACCCTACAGGGAGCGTTCTTTTCTAATGAGCAAGATGTTTGGGGGAACTGCAGGGACTGTGATCTGAGGATACTGGGGTGAAACAACAGCCAAACCCAAATGTTAGTTTCTTTAGTAGCAGCTAACACATTTCCTGACTGCTGTCTTGTCCATGTAACTTGAAAAGAATTTTGAATGAGTCTGTGGCAGAATAAACTAGTTAATGAGATCATGGGAGAGGACTTTTTTTCCTTGATGGTCATCCATTCTCTTGTCTGGTGGTAATAAATACACGACAACCACAAGTAGTGGAAGAGCTTATCTTTACCAGCAGTGCTGGACCCCAGGCTTTCTTTTGCATGGGTCAATGAAGTACAGAGGCCATACTGTATTTCAGAGGAAGAATAGGCAGGCTGAGAGGACAACATTGTTTCTCCCTTCCAGGTTGGGCTTTTGCAGTGTTTTCGAAAAATATTTAAGCTCTCTGTAGCGTATTTCAGTTAATCTTTAGAAAGCAGTAATGAAACTCTACGAAAGCTATGCAAAGGAAAAGATAGGATGCTTTCCATCAGGATGGCTGTACTTGGTAGGAAGATCTGTTTCTGATTAACATGCCAAGGTACTTAGGTTGAAAGAGAATTTTACTAGACACTTTTAAAGGAAACTGTTTAGGAAAATGCCATGTACTGACCTCTGAGAAAGATCTGTAGAATCCAGTGTTTCCTTCCAGTTCATTCTGAGGTTTCTACTTTTCTTCTGTGTCGTGCACTCAATTGCAATGCTAATAATACCAATACTTTCAGTGCTGCAACACTCTCTACTTCAAAGCACTTCACAAACACTGGACTATATTCAGTCTGGTCTTCTATGGATATAAACTTTGTGTTGAAATCTGGCTCTTTTACAGTGAATGGCAAATTTCCCACTGACTTCAGTGGGACTGAGATTTCACTTACTCCTTCTCAAAGAATTTGGGCAAATCAAACCTTCTGAAAGAGGTGAATGTGATAGCTGAAAGGAGATGAAACCTCTCTTCATTGCAGGGAACACATAAATTCTCAAAATGGAGGACAGGCACATCCAGACTCTTAGGGGAATAACAGAGGGAAGAAGGCCCAACCTACTCATCTCACACCGTCTCTTTTCTCCTAAATCAAGCATTAGGACAATTCTCTGTTTTGGTTGTGCCCTCAAATTTGTAATTCTATGACATTTATGTAAATATGACTACAGATGCTTGATTTACTAGCTTGGTGAAGTGGCTGATAACCTCAGTTTTCCAGTACTTCTGCTTAGGATTGTCGCTTGCAGTTGTGCACATCAGAACAGAAGGAGTTTATGCCCCCTTTACACAGGGGCAAACCAGTCTGGAGTCAGACCCTTGCTCACATGCATGCTCAAATGTATTTTACTTTTTAACACTTGAAACACTGCAAGTATCTTGAATGTTTTTGGTCCTTTTATCACATTGCTCAGTGAAGACAAAGTCTTTTGGGCCAGAGAAGATGTTGTATATTTTCCCAAGTACATTTAGAGATTGCAAAATGTAAAGTGGTTTTTTTTTTTTATGAATAAACATGGCTTTTATAGTTTTGTGATCCCAAAGAAATTACTAACCATATACAAGGCTGAAGAGGAGCATAGCACTGAATATCAAAACTGAACAATGAGGAGGCATATCTTAGGAAATAAAAATGCTTTAAATATGAGTTGAAACACTGAGCTGTTGAAACATTGAGCCATTGAAACATGTCAGCCAAGCTACATTCACTCCTTCTGATCAGGGCTCTGTACCTGAAATCCTTATTCAGGGTAGAACTTGTATGATGCTGCCATATGCCTTTGCTTTTGACTGATGCAACTGAGGATTTCTACACTCCTGGGTATATAAATCCCATCTGTCCAACAGTTACCTGAGCTGCTCTCATTTTCAGCTTCCAGTTGGTACATCCTGAAAACGCCAAAGAGCAGTCCTGACATCTTGGGCTTGTTTTAATTTCTGCTCTTCCATGTGTGTATCTTATTACATGGAAGTATGCTGAGAAGTAGTTTGCCATGTAAGAATACGATGAAAATTGAAGGAGAACTTCAGGTTTTGGCCACAGTTCTTTTCTTTCTCTCTCTTTTTTACCACCCCCACCCCCACCCCCCTGCTTTTACAGCACAGCCAGAAAGGAATGTGGAAACAGCTGAAAAGTAAGTTGCTCTTCTTCTCCTTAGGTCTAAAGTCATCATTTCTCTACGTATTTTGGAAAAGCTGTTTTCCAAATTTGAGCTTCACACAGTTACTGCGGCCTTGTATTCGCATTCTGTGCCTCATCACTAGCAGCAGCTGAACTAGTTTAAATTCTCAACAGCAATGAGAAATTGACCAGAGACAATAAATCATAGACATCATGAACTTCTGACTAGTGTGAAGTCATTCAGAAATACATTTCCCAGCAGATCTCTGCAGTCTGTGGTATTCCCATCAGGTGATTAATCCTCTGTCAGGGTGCAAAATGTATTGTAATACAGAAAGACAAGGAAATAGTGCAGATACGAAATCCAACATTGCTTATGTTTCTAAAGTCTTTGGGTGACAGAAATAGACTGCAATCACTTGCAATACCTTGCACTGCATGCCTTTTAAAAAATCTAAATTATGACTGAGGTGATAAAATGCTCTGAAGTATAGATGGGTGAACACATGTAGGTGTGTCTGTAAGTATAAAGAATAAAAATTAAAACTACTCCATAGCTTTCCTGATTGGCTTAAAATACATATTTTTGGATAGTTCTAAGCTTTTTCAGTTTTTAATTGTGTTTTGCTGGGATGGGGGGGTGGGGGGGGAGTCTGGGAAAGCAGTCCCTGTTGTGTAGGAGGGACATACAATATTTGAAATTGTCTGTTACAGTGATTAGTGTCACTGTTGGACTCTGAGCATGTTTGCTTTCATAGGAAAACTTGGCAACACTGGACATTACCAGATGCTCAGATATTCTGAGTAAAAGCGGAGAGGAGCATAAATGTATAAACCCAGGAGAAGAGAACAACTCAATGAACAGGAATTATGATTAAATACAAGAAAGAAGAGTGGGTTAGTGGTGTTGGGGTTAAAGATGCAGTTTTTCTGTTGCAGAACTTGAAGAGATTTTGACTGAAATCAGGGATCTAAAAGAAAAGTGTGGATCCCCTTAAACATCTTTCCCCTGAATAACTTTAAATGTTGTGGTGACTGCTGTTTGACCTGACTGTCGCAGACTGAATGGGAAGGAGGGGAGAATGATGTTTGGAGCTGTTGGTAAGGATGCTGATCGACATACTGTGTGCCTCAAAGAAACAGAGAACGGAAGATGATCAGCTTTTGGCTTCAGTCCTTATCCCTTCTTGAATGGTTAAAAAGAAGACAGTGCTATGTAATCAGAACTGAAATTTCATTAAAGGCATTGAACAGATTGTGTGGCTCTCATTTACACCTGCACGAGTTTGGATTTGGTCCACGAAGCCCAACTGTGCCCTGGTGGAACTGAGCCTGGTGTCTTATGAGTGGTCCCTGAGTCTGGCAGCAGTGGCAGGCAAGCTGCTATCAGGAAATGGGGCATGTGTTTCTGTGCTCAGATCTGTGTGCTAAGTGCTAGGCCTGGCTTGACAGATGTTAGAGTGCCTCTGAGTAAGCAGGGAAATTATATACAAAAGTTTCCTATTACGGCTGGAATAAACAATTTCTTAACTTTTGTGTATGCTTGTCTTTCAAAGAGTCACAGTGCTCTCACTCTGTAATACCGCTGATTAATTGCCACAGTTCCTCTGGATCCCAGCTCCTCTGGAACTTGTGAGAAAGTCCTTTTCATACTACTACATTGACTTCTCAAAAAAAGTTTAAGTGCTTCATAAGCATAAATTAATTCAGTCAAACAGTGTTTCTGTGATGTGGGAAAATCTGTGATGCCTAGCTGACACTGCTGAATTGACTTGCTTAACATTACAAACTGAATCAGTGATGTAGATAAGAACCAAACTGAGGATGCTTATTTCTGACCTTCTTGCTTCATACAATGAATGCAGACAAGGCAAACTCACAATACTCAACAGAACAAGTGGTGACTAGTGCACCTTTTCACATTAGTGCAAAAGCAATTCCTTTTATAAATTCATCCTCCCACTAGCTTCAGCAAGAGGAAAATGCTCTAAAAAACTCACTTATAAATGTAGCAAAGAACCTTTTCTGTTCTTAATTCCCCCCCATGACCTCCCTCCCCGCCCCACACCGTAACAGTGAGTTGCTTTATTTAACATTCACAATCCAGATTCTGAGTTAAGTGTCTGGGTTAGCTGACTAGTCTTTAGATTTGGTTCCCACTGGAGTCAACAGACAGGTGAGCACCTTCCAAAGGATGATTCAGAGCAGAAGTCCAAATCAAGTGGTCAGATTTTAGCTGTGTGTCTAAAGCCTTGACGTACTCTTGTTCCTGATTGCAATAGGTGGAGCTGCGATTCACCTGACAATATAGTATAAAAGAACTGAAATACATCTGACAGACAAAAGACCAAGAGGTGACTATCCCAATGATATGTCTGTGCATCTATGAGAGCTATAAGCAGTAGCAATAAATGTATAGTGGAGATATCGATGTTACAGGCAAGCTTCTAGTTCAATTCCCAGTACTAAGCACAATTCAGAAAGCATACATTAGTTTTTGAGGGCTGATTAAAATTGCTGGTTTTGTATTAATAATGGGACAACCTGTTGTCATTTGCCCTCTGCCTTACATAAAACCTTCTACAGACATTAATTTTCCAGTCAGGGAGGCTAAATGCATGTGAACATTATCTGAGGTATCTTGAATACCTTTTCTGAAAACAAGACAATGACATTTCTCTGTACAAGTTCAAACATGACTCTCCTGCGTTGCAAAGAACTGTCAAATTGAATAACAGGTACAGTGAAAGCACTTCTTTCCCAAACTATTCAAATGAGCATCACCTTAAATAAACAGAGCCTGGCTAAGGGTTACATGAAAGATTTGTCATAGCAAGAAGTAATATTTGAATGATAATATCTCCTAATTTATTCATTATTTAAAGTTGCTCTTTTAAATAGACCTAGAGCAGTCTTTCCCAGGTAACCCCTGAGATAAAGTTGTCAGACTCTGGCTCTCATCTTCACTGCATCCTGTTGTAAATAATGCCTTTGCACATGGTATCTCCTACCAGCGGTGATTGCAGTAACTCTTTGGCTCCCAGCA